TAAGTGTCAGAAGAATATTCTGAACTCTCGTCTTTCTGACATCAGGTCAAATACTCTACCCATTATATTGAACTTTTTCAAATGGAATTGGGATTTCCTTTGGTTGGTGAAGTCCTCCAGTTGTTCTCTTTTTAGATGATGGCATGCCAATTGCATCAGATCCCAGAGTACTGCTGTCTGCTTAGGGAGATCTGTGACCACTCAGAAGACGTCACCATAAATACTACAATACCAGTAGAAAAAAACAAATGGGTGATGCCTTATTATCCAAACTATAAAATGTAGCCAGGTAGCTGTCTCATTGAATTACAGAACATTAATACTAGATGGAGTAGAGTTGATAAGGCACTGGACTTAGAGTTAAGAAGAACTGAGTTCAGATCCTGCCTTAGACACTAGTTCTGTGATCCTAGGCAAATCACTTAATCTCTTTCTGTCTTTGTTTCCTCATTTATAAAACGAGGATGATACTGACAACTACTTCCTAGGATGTTTATGAGGATCAAATGAGTTAATGTATGCAAAGTGCTTTGTAAGCTGTAAAGTACTATATGAATGCTATTATTATTACTATTATTAGTGTTAACTATGGGCAGTGAGTTGGGCTTAAAAATTAACCGAAGGAATAAAGTAGACCAGATTTTTTTTTTTTTAAATAGAAGAGCCAGGACGATGGTTAGTCTTTTATTGGAGGGGAAGAAAACATTACAGCACATCTCAAGTCAACCAATCCAGGAGCTCAGTGGCTCAGCTGGTGGGGTTTGTAATGGGTTCTGCCATTAGGGCACCAGATGACTGCGCTGCTGTCCTCTTCACAGATACAGCCTGCTAATCACCTGTCAATGTTGGAAGAGATCAGGTTGGGTTCCTCCTTAGTCGCTGGAGCTGCCTTTGGGGCCAGTATGTTGTATGGATCTGAATCATTCCTTGCAGCCATCATAATCTCTGTTTCCAAGCCAGTAAAGTGTAGTGCTTTCAGTGATACCAAGCTGCCCCCTGAAACTTTGATTTTTAACATCAGTGTTCTTCAGATGATAATCTCCGAAGAATTAAATTAAGAAAAACACATGACAAGGTGGTGGTCTGGCAATTTTTATTGTGAGAGAAACTAAGGCACCGAGGCGCCTTAGTAAAACTTAGGGCTTTGCCTTAAAGTCATATAGATAGTAAATGTCAGAACAGGATTCAAATACAAATATTCTCACTATTTCCAAAAGCACCATATTAAAAAAAAAAAAAGGATGTATATATGCATGTGTCTGTGTGTATAAATATAACTCAGGCACATGCACTCACTATGTTTAACTGACAAAACAATGTACATCTGAAAAATAGAACTTGGAAAACCATCTTAAATGTGCTTGGGGATATTAACCACATCTTAGTATTTTCGTTGGGCCAGTATCGTGACATGTTAAGTATGGTATCCAGATTGATGCATCTTGGAGGCTTGGGCATGACTAGATTTTATGATTTTCAAAGTGAATTCTAACTGTATATTTTTGCATGGATTTTCCACTTTTTGTGTTAATTATCTTTTTTAGGTTTATTGAAGCGTTTTTTTCTGATTTCAGAGGCGATGATCCAGAGATTCATTAGCATTTCAGATTTGATTGGAAATGCAGCATTGATTTCAAGGGAACATTTCTGTGACCTCTTGATTCATTAGTAGGCCTTTTCAAATTTCCATCCTTTATTGACTTAATTGGAATAGCTTCAGAGTATGAGATAGGAGTGTGAAAGTCCCTCCTGAGCATGCCAAACTGACAAGCATTTGTTTGGAAGAAGCACTTTGTATTTTTCTGCGTTATGAACCCTAAGATATAGTGGATCGAGATCTGGTTGATGTAAAGGCCTACGGTTTAGGTCTAGTCCTTTTCACCTACAATCTGTGTAACCGTGGGAAAATCAATGCTCCAGACAACTGATTTTGAGACTGCAAATTGTAGAGCAGTTGCAAATCTGGGTATTTCCTTACTTGGATTTCCCAAAACTGGAAGAAACCATTGGTCCATAACTAAGAAAGTGAATTCTAATTAAGTTAGAAAAAAAAGAACAGCATTGGAACAATTGATGTGTTTCCCTGAAGTAAGGTATGTCCTCTGTAGTACCAAATCAGAGGTTGGGGATTAGCTTCATTTCATGAATAGTATTTTGCCTGAAGTATCTTTAATTAAGCCTGATTGTAGGGAAGAGTGAATTGTGGGGAAGAGAGTGGAAAACTGACCACACTTTCTTATACCTATTTCTAGAATACACCTTTAAAGTTGTGTGTATTTAAGCAGACATGCCAACAAGGATCAAAGTGGGTTAAATTTGCCTTTTACCTCCTGATTTATTTCTGATCAACCTCTAAAAATTATTAAAAGGCAGTGAAATCCATTGACTTACTTATTCGCCAAACATTTTTAAGTGTGTTTTGTGAACAAGCCACTGTGAAATAGTCCAAATTTAATGGTTAGTCTTTTATTGGAGGGAAGAAAACATTACAGCACATTTTAAGTAAACCAATCCAGGGGCTCAGTGGCTCTGTAGGTGGGGTACCAGCTTGTAATGGGTTCCACCATTAGGGTGACGCTTTGTCTCGCCTTTCTGAAGCCAGAACCAGATGACTGCACTGCTGTCCTCTTTACAGATACAGCCCACTGTATACACTATGTACAGCTCCTCCCAGCTTGATCTCAGTAGTGTTCTTTTTTTGAACTCTCCAATGTGATGTAACCACAACAACAACAACAACAACACCTCACATTAATATAGCAAATTAAGGTTTGCAAAGTGCTTTATGTCTATACCCTGTCATTTGGGCCACACAGTACTCTTGTGAGGTAGGTACAGTTGTTACCCTCAGTTTACAGATGAGGAAATTGATCCTGAGAGAAATTAAGTGACTTGCCGAGGGTGACATAGAAAGTCTTGGAGGCAGGTTTTAAACTTAGATTGTCTGGATTCCAAGGTCACTGTGCTTCCCACTACAACACACTGCCTCTCCATTGTAAAGAACCCTGGGCTTAGACGGTCTTTGGAGTCTACTCACATCTATCAGTGCCCCTGCTCTTCTGGACCTCTGCTCCCCTAAGAGCCAGCATTTGTTGTTCCTTAAAGTTTACAAAATGGTGTACAGGTTACCTTGTTTGGTTTTCACAACAAGCCTGTGAGAGTGTTGTTGTCGTCAGCCATAAGCATCGTCATCATCAACAACATTCCCATTTTACAGATGAGAAGGCTGAGAGAGAGGTAAAGTAATTTGCCCAGGGTTACATTGCTATTACAAGTCAGAGACAGGATTTGAATTCATGTCATCTTAGCTCCAATTCCTGAAATCTAACAGCTATGCTACCTAGATGCTCTGTGAGATCAAAGGATCATGTCTTAAAGAAACTTTCTATGTCCTCAAGCATCTAGTACAGTATTACTAAGCACAGTAGGCGATAAACAACACAAATGTATTCATAATTTGTGATTAAAGAGAATCATTGTTTTATAGGTCCTTGGAGTGCTTGCTGTTTAAAATAGGTCTATAGAGGCTCCTTGTATAGACTTTTTTTTTAACCAAAAAGTTAATAGCCCCTCAAAATTTTTCCTTTAGCCAGAATTTTTAAAACAAATTTATTTACTTTTAGTTTTCAACATTCACTTCCATAAGATTTTGAGTTCCAAATTTTCTTCCCATCTCTTCCCTCCCCCCACCCCAAGATGGAATGCAATTTGATATAAGCTCTACATATACATTCATATTAGATCAATTTTCACATTAGTCATGTTGTAAAGAAGAATTAAAACCAATGGGAGAAGCCGCAAGAAAGAAGAAACAAACAAAAAAAAGAAAAAAAAAGAGAGCAAATAGCATGCTTTGATCTGCATTCAGACTCCGTAATTCCTTTTCTGGATGTGGACAGCATTTTCCATCATGAGTCTTTTGGAGTTGTCGTAAATCCTTGTATTGCTAAGAAGAGCTAAGTCTATCAAAGTTAGTCATTGCACAATGTGGCTGTTACTGTGTACAATGTTCTCCTGATTCTGCTCACTTCACTCAGCATCAGTTCATATAAGTCTTTCCAGGTTTTTCTGGTCTGCCTGCTCATCATTTCTTATAGCACAATAGTATTCCGTTACATTCATGTACCACAACTTGTTCAGCCATTCCCCAGCTGATTAGCTAGAATTTTTAAAGTAAAATTTACCAGCATAAGAATCAATGTATATCTAAAAGGTTCTAGTTTTGGCCATATGTCATGTTGGTCTTTAAGCATATACAAACGCTTAAGACACTAGAAATCAAATATTAGTCATAAAGTGTAGCATTATAGACCTTGGAAGGTAGCTCAGAAGAGTGTCTGGTCTGGTCCCTTGTCTTCAAGCAGGAAAAGTATGGTTCCCATTTTGTAGCTGAGGCTATTCCAGTTAAGTAATTGCTGGTGGAGATAGAGTTGGGGGTGGAGGGGTGGGAATAGAAGCTAAGTTTCCTGCTCCAGGTGGAGTGGTCTTCTCATTGCAGAAATGGTAGTCTTTTTGCTTAGTAGGTAAATATTTGTGTTGGTCAAGTATTCAGATAGCAATTTAATACAAAATTCTTCCTGTAAGAAGTCTACTTTCACATTGAAAAGGACATTCATTTTGACAAAATAAGGCTACTCATGTAAGTCAACTTAGAGATATAATTTTTATCTCTATTTTATTAATACTGGAATATTCCTCTGCTAAATGTGATGTAGATGATTTCACCAGGTGAAATGAGAAGGGTTTTTCCTCTGACATAATTGTACTCTTATTTAAAAATATTGTAGAGTAAAATGTATCTTCTAACTTATTTTTTCCCCCATTTCATTTTTTTTTTGCCAGAGTTTGTATCTATCCCCATTAGAAGTCAGATCAAGCTATGCTTTGTTTAGTTATATCTGAACAAAATATGGCATGGGAGGTGGGGATGGAGACTAAGTAAGTATTTGTAAGTCATTCGTTAAGTCACTGGGAATTTTTTTTTTCTACACATATTCCAGAATATTGGAAAGAAGATGACCTGTCAGGAGTTTATTACGAATCTCCAGGGTGTAAATGAAGGCAGTGATTTTCCCAGGGACCTGCTGAAGGTAAGCAAGCAGTGAAATACTGGTTTTTCTAAAAAGTAGGTTTACATTTGAATTCACTGATCAGTTTTTGAGTTTGAGATTGGTAGACTTAAGGATTCTTTAGCTACTTGCCTTCTAATTTAGATTTTTATAAGCTGTGTGAAGAGTGAATAGAAATTTGGCAACTCCTCAGGCCTCTTTTCCTCCAAAATATGTGTGGACTGTTCATTCCTGCAAAAAAACCTATGTAACAAACAAGATATCCTGGAAACCATTGCAATAATGACTTATTAAGTAGATGCTATAAATTTGGCAGCTCAAACAGTTAATGGATGGCATTGAACTTTTGAGCTGTTGGCAATCAGACTGTTTCACAAAGCTTGGGAAAGGTTACAAAGGTATATTCACTATGGAAACAAAAATGCATTTGCAGATTATAATGGATACAGTTCTGGCTTTATTCAAGCTCTAGTCACATGTCCTTGAGTTGTCTCTGCAAATCGATTAAATTAAATCTGAATAATTACAGAATGCCTGCAGTATTCACAGTCTGGCTTTATTTTTGGCCCCATTCCTCCCCGTCATCAGATAGTTATCATAAAGACAACAGAGTTGAGATTAGGATTCACAACACATTCTTCAGTAAGATAAATGAAATGATGTGCTTATAATCAAATGCAAGATTGTTGGCTAGAGGAAATGTGAATCTGGGGATGAGGTGGGATGGGGAGAGTCATGTAGGATCTGATTATGGTATACAGTAGATCTGGGCTTGGAGTCAAGAAGACCTGAGTTCAAATCCTGCCACAGACACCCACTAACTCTATGACCCTGAGCAAATTACTTAACTTCTATCTGCCTCAGTTTCCTCATTTGTAAAATGGGGATAATTGCACCTACCTCCCAGGGTTGTTGTGAGATGATAAAGGGGCAGCTAGGTGGAGTGGTGGGTAGAGCACTGGCCCTGGAGTCAGGAGGACCCGAGTTCAAATTTGGCCTCAGACACATAACACTCACTAGCTGTGTGTCTCTGGGCAAGTCACTTAACCCCAGTTACCTCACAAAACAAACAAACAAACAAAAAAGAGATAATGAATATGAAGCACTATGCAAACTTAAAGTGCTATATGAGTGCTAACTCTTATCGTCTCTCATTTCAGCCTAGTTTTCTGACTCAATGTTCACCTAGATTTCTTATGGAATCAATTATTGGGAATAGGTTTTTGCCATGTAAAGAGCAAATTTGGCTCACTAGGTGATGCTGCAGTATGGAAATGTGCTCACCGAAGGAAAAATATCTTACCTACCGTATCCTAGACAATTGTTCTTAAGTTATAAGTGAAGGTAGACTAGAGTGCCTTCAGTTTGAGGAAGAATAAGAATTAAAGGAGAGAGAAAGACAACTCTGTTATAATATAGACTAGTGCTAAACTTTTATTGAATTTAGTAGCTCATTTAAAAATGGTGATACTAGGCTAAATAAAAGAGGAAAAACATCTCAGTAAGCAAGCCAAGATGCCATTCCTTTGGTTTTTTTTTTTTGTTTGTTTGTTTTTTAAAAGACCAGCATAGCTGTTGCCTCCATTGACTTTGAGTAGTTAGACTTTGTTTCTGAGGCAACTTTATGGGAGATAAAAGGTGCCCCACTGTGGCAATAACTGTGTTCAGCACAATTCACTGATCTCATACAAGAGGACACAAGTTAACAAGTTATTTTTGCAGTCTGATGGTGTTAGCTTGGAAAATAATGGATTCTTTGAAAAGGGAGTATTTGCCAGGCTTTTATTCAGTAATATCTCAAATGAAAATTGACAAGATAATTTTCACTATGTAGCTTATAGGTTGCTGAGTTACTGAGTTGAGATGGTTTACATTACTGTAGTTATGTAACTAGGAAGTCTCAGAGTCTTTGATGCAGTGGTCAGGTGAGAAAATGCAGCCCAGGTTTCTGCCAGAGAGTGTCACACAACTCTGGGAAACACCTCCCTCCACTTATTTGCTAGGCAAAGAATTTGTCCGATGATTTTTTTTTTGGCAGTTGTGTAGTTGGAAATATGTTTACAAACGTTGGGGGAAAAAACTAACTTCTTCCAAACAACAGCATATTATACTGTGCCTTATTTACTGTGGAGAGATTGGTTACTCATTGGTATTCCAGAAACGACTGTGGGGTTTAGAATGGAAATTGTCAAGTGGAAGAATATTGACTTTTTTTCTCTCCTGAATGTGATAGTCTTCCATTTTGATAGGAATTGAGATTTTTCCTGCAGGCTGCAACATGAACAGGGTTTCATTAGAGCCATTTTTTTTTCATTATACTATTCCCTTTGTATGGCTAGTCTCCTTGGTTTTCTTTATCTTTTTCCTGTTAGTGTCTGGATTTCCAGCTGAGATAAATTACAATTTAATTAAAAAAAAAGAAATGTATGTATATGCACATATCCACCTGTGTGATTAGATGTGTATATATATGCATGCATATACTACATACATGTAAAATGTATATATACATATCCAGATGGATGTCTATGTGCACACATCCACCTGTGTGATTAGATGTGTATATATATATGCATGCATATACTACATACATGTAAAATGTGTATATATATATATACATATCCAGATGGATGTCTATGTGCACACCTCCACCTGTGTGATTAGATGTGTATGCATATGCACACATATGTACATTTACATATGTATAGAATGTATAGGTGTATATATGTGTGCAAGTATATAGATGTACACACATCTAATCACACAGATGGATAGATACATACCAACATTCCATGTGTGTTTTAGATTCTATCCTGTAAGTTTTGAAATACTTTACAAAATTTACGTGAAGTAGAACTTTAACAGTTCGAATTCATTTGATTTTTTTCTCTTCTCTTTTCACTATCTGCCATCACTCATTATGCTGATGCCAACTCCACTTGCAAGCAGTGTTTACAGAGTTAAAGGACAGATTTACTGAAATATTGATTGAAGAACAAGCACAAATACAGAGCTGCAACAGACCCTGCAATGAGCTTACTTTCTAATAGGATCCAGCACATTGATTTGGAGCTTCACAGGGATTAAATGAGCCTTGGGGCAGTGAATCTTCCCATCCTTTCCTAGGCACGTTGGTCTGATTACTGTTCACAGAGCAAGGGGTGAAAGGGGGTGTTGGGATGATGAGGATAGATGGCAAGATGCCCCTGCATCCTGCGAGCTGCTTTCCTGGTGGATGGCTGATTGGATGTGAAGCATGGCCTGAGGCCGAGTAGAGAGAGTGGGTTAGGTAAAGATGGGCTTTTTCACCCCCTGAAGAGAACCTTTGGAAAACAACACTTTGCAGTGAACCACCCTTCCCAGAGATGTCTACAGAAGCCGAGAGCCTCGCAGCCCTGGTGGAGAGCTTCCTCTCCCTGTCCCTAGGTTTGGCTCCTCCTCCGGTTCTCCTTGATGCTAAGCAGTTGGCACTGGTCAGTCATCTCAGGCCAGACCAGAGCCCTCTGCCAAAGCAATTCTTTCATTGTCCTTGGACACACAGTCTTTACTGCCACAGAAGGGGGAGGCCTCCAGAGTTTTCCCATTTGGCAGGTTGGATGCCATCCTTTCTGCATTATAGCTCTTTTGATGTGGTGCTGACAAATTAGGGATTCCCTTTCTCTGAGTCTGTTTTCCCCCTTTTTTGCTACTCAGGCCAGCCTCTTGATTCCTGAAACCTTCCTTGGGCTGCAGTCCAATTGTCCCCTTATACCTTCAAGAGAGAGGCCCAGCCACCAATTTAGGTTCAGATATAGTGACTACTAATGTTCTTTCTCTCCCCACCCCAGCCTTAATTTGTGTTGAACCCTCTAAAAACCTCCTCAGTTTCTTCCTAATTATCTCTTAAGGAATGAAGAATCTCCTTTAGATAGCTATCTGTAATTTTTCTAATAACTCTAGGGGGTCAGCAACCCCTTGCTTTTCCTATGGTGAGGGGCTGGTAGGGGAAGCTGCATTCCATAGGCCCTTCTGCCTTCATTCTTCCTGGCGATAGCAATATTCAATTTGTGGAGTGAGGTATAAGAGAGGGAGAAAAGTCCCATGGTGGCTGTGTACTACTTTCACTGTGTTCATGTGTAAAAACTCCTGTGAAAATGATTTTGTTCTTATGAGTATTCAGACATAAGAATGAATTTCTAACTTTCCCCCTTTCCATTTCCCAATGGGGCTAGTTGAAATTGAAGGGCTTTGGAATTGGCTTAATGTTTCCTGTCCTGAAGCCAGGTTTTTATTGTATGTGTTGTCCTTACTACTTTTAGGTTCCCCAGTTATATTTAAAATAAGATTTGAATTTGTCTGTTGCTATGGGTAGCCAAGGAGCCAGGAATATGTATTGAGGGCTAGCTCTTCTGCAGGGCATGGTATAGTAGGTTGGGTATAGGGGAGAGATACAGAGGAAATAAAAATAAGCTTCCCCCTCAAAGGGATTACTGTCATTTGGGAGAGAAAAGAAGGGGGTACTTTTTTCTCCATAAAATGTACAACTATTCTGTAGCTTTCCTTATGATTGAGCTGTAAATTGAATTTCACTAGTTTAACTTAGTTAATATTGATGTGTAGGAGCAGTAATTTATTAATCTTAATTCAAAGGCCACTTTTTCTCTTTGTAAATCATTCAACAGTTTTAAATCTTGCAATACTTAAAGGTACATTAGGGATTTTCTTTGAGTAGTGAAGAACTCACTTCAAAGTCTTAAAGTACAAATATCCAGAGAATTTTACACTTTCAAATAAGCTTAGGTTAGCACCAGAGGGATGGAAGATAAATTGAGTCATTTAAAAAAAAAATCACTGTTTTAAAGGAGTGTATTTTAAATACTTCCTTTGGACTTTCTTCCTACCTTTTAACAACTTATGTAATGCTTCTTCAGTTGATTCTTCCTCTGTGTCGCCCACAGCCCCCCCACCACTCACCTCCGCACCCCCCAGTGCTATCTTTCTCCTACCTCCCCCCAGCTCAGGTGTAACATATCAGGAGTGGC